TCAGCAGGATGCTAGCTGTGACAGGTCAAGACACAGTGGTGCAAAGGGCCTGATCTGACCATGTGTCCCCAACAGTTAGTGCCAAGGATTGTATGCTTCCTGTGTGCCCTCACCATGCAGGGAAGGCCGCGAAATGAGACCATTTGGCAGCGTGCCGATAGCCTGGATTACCAGTGATTTACTGAGAGGCTTTCAGGAAATGGGTACAATTCAGCTCTCTGTTTCTCTCCCACTTCACCCCAGGCCTCTGAACAGCTGCTTCCAGCAATTCCCTGAATGTAGCCTGACAAGGATCTAAATTCCCTGGTAGTTTGAGAAATTATAGTATGTCAGTAGATGAAACTAACTGTCAAGGAAAAGGTATCATCCAGAGTGGGGGAAATGGGGAAGGGACAGACATATTTTCTAGCATTCATGGCAAAGAGCTAAAAGTTAGCAAATATATATATTTTATATTTAATCAGGTTTTTACCTCTGTCCTGATGAAGAACCTTCACCAACCTGGTTCTAAATCTCCAACTTATTTGTAACTCAATAAAATTCAGGGTATAAAATTAATAAACCTTAAAGTAATTAGTTTTGAACAGTTTGGACAATGAAGGTTGCTGGTGCAGACAGCAATAATCAGCTTCATTGAGTTGCTAACCTTTTGTTTCCATAGGGCTTGAAAGGAGAGCCAGGAGAAGTCGGTGTGATGGTTAGTATTCAGTGTGCAATGCTTGTGTTGGCACTAGTGGATTAAGTCTGCTTTACTAAACACAGGGTGTTTGCTTCAGCTACATATGCAGTTTTTTACTTGAATTCTCTTACTTATGTCATCCTATACCCCCACACAGTAAATTACTTTAATTGTGCCATCACTTGCTAATTAAGACAAAAAAGTATGGTGCTACTGTGCTGGGTTGGACCTGTCCAGAGATGGACAGATGTCAAGCTTGGAGAAAAGTTTCAGGTTCCTGAATAAATCAAGTACTGCCTTCGTACTTCAGCTTTCTGTGTTGTGCCAAACAACCAAAATTAGGTGAGTCCTTTCTCATCATAGCTTTTCTATAAATATATCCTTTGTCCTTGCTCGCACCACTCCTGACTCTCTCAGTAATACCTTACTCTTCCAAAATTTGGATCATACTTATACAAGGAAGTACTTATTTTTTTGCCTCCTGAGAGTTTATTTCCATCAAGGCTTCCTTTGAGTGTGGTTCATGCTTCTGCTACAGTCTGAAAATGAGTTTCATCAGGAGTTAGCTGTGAAATTTGAGGCTAGAAATTGGCTGATGTTCCAATCCTATGCACCGATGATGGATGAGGATTCAGTGGTGTCACAGGCTTTCCCCAAGGCAAAGTTTTGGGGGTTTGTTTTTTTTTTCCAGGGACGGGTTTCTTCTCAAAGCACACTTGGTAATCATGGGTCACTTTCCCCCATTGTCCCACACCTTTCTTCTGTGCTTGCTTTCTATACCATGTTCTTGGAAGCACTCTTCTATGGACAATCAGACCTTTTGCACATCTTTACCATAGGACACAGCTTGAATATACCAGAATGTATATTTAAAACAGCTGTCTGCCAACTGTGGAAGTAAAAATTGAAGTGGGACAGAATGAAAAGTGCTAAGTATCTTGTAGGACAATAAACCAGTAGTAAAAGAAGACAGAGGGAAGAATCAGTTCTAAGCACTGAACCCTTTAAAAAGAGCAATCAGCAAGATAGTAAAGCCTCTGACATGCAGGCAGAGGCTGATGCAGGAAAAGGTATGTTCAATCTCCCCAGGAGAAACAGGAAAAGAACCAAAGGGGAGACTGTGAAGAGGTTTAATATCCACAAATTGACCATGTTAACAAAATAAGATATATGAGGGAGTCTACTTTAAAAGTAAATAATCCAACTCAATAGGACGTCCTGCAAGGTCTTTGCAGGTGCTACCCAGATTCATTTGCTTTGGAAGTCACCATAGGCAGGGCTCTTTCAAGCGAGAGTAGTCCTGTTGAACTAACCCATCCTGTTGCTTCATCACTGGTAGATTATTGGTAAATATTAATATTGTGCATGTTCTCAGTTGACTATAGTTTAAAACTGGTAAACCACAGAAACACCTTCATGTTGATCATTGTGCCTATATAAGAGGTACTGGGTGGCAGGAAGTTCTTAAGCAGGTAACAAATGGCTTGCTAGGATATTTTTCATATATAATATATAATCATTAAGAGAGAAGTTTATTACTCTGGGTCCTGATTTAGAAAACCTTTGAGAATAGACATATTCACAAGTAAAAGCAACACATTGGCATCTTTGCCATTTTCCACAAGACTGAAAACATTTTGAATGGATGTTTTTGATCTTAGATGTTTCTTCCCAGATATTCTGATTCATTTGTCTTTTTACAGGGTGCAAGGGGACCTCCAGGACTAAAAGTGAGTACTAAATAGCTTATTACATCTCAAATTCTAACAGGTCAGGGATCCTCAAAATGTTTCCATGTAGCTGTGCAGGGTTGTGCCTGGCCTTCTTTCACCTAGATGTGAACTTCCCTGCATCAATCCAAGGGAAGAACGCCAAAGAATCAAAATGGCCTTGAAATGGTAAACTTCCCCATTTAAATCATCATCTTGGCAGGAAATGTGCAAGTTATTAAAATGAGAGGAAATAACACCACTTGAATGAGAGGGTGTTTTGGGTTTTGGTTTTCTTTATGTACACATACATGCACTTTTGGCATTTCAGGGGAAGATGTCGATCAACAGCACAACCATATTTTCACCACAGCAGTTAATTTTGAGCGTGCATGTGACTTCTCTTATTTGGTTTCACGTTACTGACTTGCCTCCCTTTTCTGTTTTGTTGTGTTTTCCATTTCTGAAGGGTGAACCTGGGATTCCAGGGGAAAAGGTAGGAGGTTGATTCTTCTTCCTTCTGTGCTGTCCACCCCCCTAAGAAATGCTTAGTGAAGCATTTGCAGAAACAACGTAAAACATTCTAGTCATGGTTGGTTGCACTGATTCATTCCTTATATTCTCTGGGATTTCTAGCATATGTTCAATTAAATAGCAATCTTGTGACCTTGAAACAGACACTGCTGGGCTGCTGACATGCTTTTCATTAGGATGATCAGCCTAGGAAGATTAGCCCAGGAGATCAAGAACAAACGAGCAAAATGGCCTCTCGGGAGAGTAAGTCTGGGCCCTCTTGCTGGGAAACTAAGTGGATGAATCTGTGAGAACTGTGCCCCGCAACAGGCTGGCATTGATCTGTCTGAATCTCTTGGGTCTGACCAAGCACAGAGATCTCAGTGATCTGAGTGGAGCCTACTGGTTACAACTGCAGTGTACGTAGGGTTTTATACACTCTGACAAGGAGGGAGACGACCAGCAGAAGATCCTGGAGCAGCACAAGAAGGTGCAGCTATTACCCACTTCAGCTGCACTGCTTGTGCACGGCGAGCTCTGCACTCACTGCCTGGTCAGCACAGGCACCTGTTAGAGCCCTGCCAAAGCAATGAGCTCTGAGCTCACCAGCTGACCAGGGTCAGGTCAGGATGGGCCCCTACTTTCACCTGGCTCTGGAGCCCAGGGGATGAACGCTGCTTCTGTTCACCCTTCCTCTTCCCCCCTATCCCTGCGTGGCAGTGCTCACCCCCAGCTCAGTGCTGGGTGAAAGCTGGGGCCTCCCATCAAAGCTTGCGTGGATCAGCTGACGATGCGGCCGGAGGGAGCACAAGTTGCCCATTGAAAGCCAGAGGAGTATTCATCCCATCTCTGGGTTTTTGCAGTGGGCATCCTTCACTGTAATGCACAGTGCCTCTCGGAGAACTGAAGCCCAAACTCTAAAGCAGGGTTGTCAAATTCAGCCTGCCCCATGAGTCAGTTGAGTGGTGCTGGGCCAGTCCACGAGCAGGATCAGTCCCACAAAGCCCCCAGCTTCCCCCACATCACCCACACCTCCTATGCTACAGCGTGCATCCCAAACTGGGCCAGGGAGGGGGCATAGTGTACATTGTGGGTCCCAGACCAGCTGGGGCAGGACCTGCAGGTGATGCAGGTGCCAGGACGCTCTAGCTTCGCCTCGCTATCATGTGTATTAAGCCCCCATGCACTTCAAAATGGCTGCGGGGGTGCTTTATTTAAACCTTGTGGATTGAGTTTTAGATAAAGCGCCCGCACAGACACTTTGAAATGCACAGGGGTTTACAACATTAATTAGAGTGGCTGTCTAGGAGCTGCTTTAATTAAACACCACCCCACCCCGAGCACATGTATAGGCACCCCTCAGGCCTTTGTACATCCAGCGTTGGGTTAACAGCTCATGAGCATCACTGAGCTTCTGCTCAAAGTCCTGCATGTTGATGCCTTTATATTTTGGTCTCACACAGACACTCGGTATGTGTTTTGTTCCATCAGGGTGACGATGGAGCTCGTGGAGAGCCTGGGCTTCAAGGACCTAAGGTAAATTTCAGCCCCATGCCTGGGCATTTCTACTGGCATCTTTACTGGCCTAATATCATGGTCATTTTAAGAGCCGGTCCTTACAATAGCTTCACGTGCAGTGTGGTGGACTCATCAGTCCCCACACTTTCCTTATGGCTGCAGTTTTGGGACTGTCTTTGCCAGTGAACGTGCCTTCTTTTACCAAGTTTGAAAAGCTGAAGGTTTCATTTTAGCTTGGAAAAAAAATGCCCTTTTGCATGTAGGCAGTTCTCAGAGACGTTTGAGAATGAAAGCAAAGCTTTGATCTTTCCAGCATGCCTGTAGAACTCGAGATAAACCACGAGCATTGTAACCTTGGGAAAATGGCTTTCTGTCTTACCAGGGCCAGAGTTAAAGTGCTTATCACATGAGAATTTGGGAGGCAGGGTTCTATCTAAATGATCTTATTTTTCAGGGGGAAAAAGGAAACATGGGTGCCACGGGGGAGAATGGGCTAGATGGATCGCCGGGCTCGAAGGTAAATAAAGCCCAGGTTGGTTAAGCTGGAAGCTGATCACAGCGGTCTTGGGGAGAGTTTTGGCTCTGTAGGAGTTTTAAACAACTGCTTTCTAAAAATGGCACTGAAAAAGCAGAACAAAACTAGAGCATGTGAACTTGAACAGTTCCCTTGTGGCCTGGTGTTTTGAGTAAAGCTGGTTTGGAGAAGGAGATCCGCAAATGTTCCAAAGTTGTCACTTTTTTGACATTTTCCATTGGAGTGTCGCACACTTTTCTTAACTTGCCTTTTTTCCTGCAAGGATTGTGGGGCACCGCCTTCTGCTGCTGTGTCAGTTGTTGTATGTTGGCTAAGACTGTATCTCTTCCATTTGGGCAGTGGTTGTGCGCATCACAATTTGTTAATTTTTCTTCATAACTGCAAAGAAGTGCCCCAAGACATCTTTGATGTACTTGGCAATGGCACCCTAGGATGGCCTCTATTTGGGATCAGCTGTTCCTCATCAACTGCTCGCCATTTAACGGAATCCACATCCATGTGTGTTTTGTGCACTGCGTAGCCATGGCTCCTTGCTATGCATTAAAGCGTGCAAAGCTGAGGAAATGAGGGTTGCAGACTGCCTCTAGCCATTCTACTGCTGAATCCACGATAACAAGGCTGATTCAAATAGTTCTGCATCATTTTTTATATTAATAACCTTAATTCCAGGTTTTCAGTTGTTTTGCTGTGTGATTTCCAGATCTGTGATTTTCCAGCAGCTTATAACAGAGCTAAATTCTGGGTGGATTTTCATGGGTGTGGCAAAAATCATATGCATGACCGAGGCAACTGGCCTCCCCTTATCCAGTTTCCAGTGCCTGCTCCAGTGCACAAACATCTGAGTTTCTTTCCATAATGTTTCCTTATTTCTGAAATAATAAACATGATGTTTGTTTTCAGGGTGAATCTGGTGAGAAAGGAGGACTGGGACCCATTGGACCAAGGGTATTTTTGCCTTGTTAACTGTGCCTCTCATGTTTTGCCTCTGTACAAGCTATTCTGTCCTCTGTCCATCATTTGCAGCATGCTTGGAAGTTCAGTGCAATGTAAGAGGGAGGCAGATGGAGCAGGTTTAAATAAACCACCCTACAGCTACTGAGCTGGATCAGTGCAGGGAACTGCCATAAATGCAATAAAATCATTTCTAGCTTTTTTCTGTAAATGACAGAGGTGCTGGCTATCTACAGTCACTGGAAGATCTCACTGTCTTTTTCCAAAGAGGAAAACAGGTCTGATTCCAGTTAGGCAGGTCATATTCTGCTTCTCGTTTCCATGAACTTCCAGGCTCTTCCAGGACTTGATCTGTATTTGTCTTAGCTTCTAGTGATCAAATCTCTGGTATTTATATGCTGACAGATGACAAGGTATCTAGAACAAAATCTTAGAGGACATTTAGATACCCAACCCCTATTTAAGCACCTAAATTCCCATTGATTTCAACCTGATTGCAAGTGAAATCAATGAGGGTTTAGATGCCTTGGTGGTTTTAGGGGGGTTTGTTGTTTGTTTTTTGCATGTGGCTGTGGCTGCCTAAATTACACTGTCCTAAGACTATTCTTGCTGTTTCCACACTACCTGCTTTTCAGATGCTGGCCCCAGGTTCATCCCTAAATGTTTGCAATGCTGTTTTGTCTTCCAGGGTCCACCTGGTCTGAAGGGTGAACAGGGAGACACTGTCGTGATTGACTATGATGGCAGAATCCTGGACGCATTCAAGGTAAGCTCCATTCTACGGTGATACCAATTTATAAGGATTAGAGCCAGTTACTACATAAATTGAAATTCAGCCATTGAAATATTACTGATCTGGAGACATGCAAGAGTGGTTTGGGAGTCACTCCTCACTCTGGTGTGATGATAATAAATAAGGGCTGGAACACTGTCAAACTGAAAAGTGAACTGGCAAGGAGATCCTCTTACAGTGCCCACGTTATCCCCCCAGAGCTGCTCCTCTCTTTGGTTCACCATAGGTCTGTGGCCAAGAGGAGCTGCGTAATCAGTAGCGTGGCTTTTGGAAAGGAGTCAGAATCACAGAAAATAGAAAATGAGGGTTGCAAGGGACCTCAAGAGGCCATCTAGGCCAATCCCCTGCTCAAAGCATCATCCCAGCCAGCGCATTGTTCAGCCAAATCTTAAAAGCCTCCAAAGATGGAGATTCCACCCCCTTTCTAAGTAACCCGTTTGAGTGCTTCACCACCCCCCTAGCGAGAGTTTTTCCTAATATCCAACCTAAACTTCCCTTGCTGCAACTTGAGCCCATTGCTCCTTGTCCTGACATCAGCCAACACTGAGAACAGTCCAGCTCCATCCTCTTTGAACCTCCCTTCAGGTAGTTAAAGGCTGCTATCAAATCCCCCCTCAGTCTTCTCTTCTCCAGACTAAATAAACCCTGCTCCCTCAGCCTCTCCTCACAAGTCATGTGCCCCAACCCCCTACCCATTTTTGTTGCCCTTCACTGGACTCTCTTCAACTTCTCCACTTCCTTTATATAGTGGGGGGAGGGGGTGGGACAAAACTGGACCCTACTGCAGATGTGGCCTCACCAGTGCAGAATAGAGCAAACTGATTATTTCCCTTCATCTGCTGACAACGCTCCTACCAATGCAGCCCAGGATGCCGCTAGCCTTCTTGGCAACAAGGGCACACTGCTGACTCATATCCAGCTTATTGTCCAGTCACCCCAGGTCCTTTTCTGCAGAGCTGCTGCTTAGCCAGTTGGTCCCAAGCATGTTCCGGTGTGTGGGATTGTTCTCTCTTGAGTGCTGGACTTTGTACTTCTCCTTGTTGAGCCTCATGGAATTTCTTTTGGCCCAATTCTCCAATTTGTCTAGGTCTCCCTAAATCCTAGGCCTACCCTCCAGCTTGTCTACTATGCCCCCCAGCTTAGTGTCATCTGAAAACTTGCTGAGGGTGTACTCCATCCCATCTTCCAGATGGTTAATGAAGATATTGAACAAAACCAGCCCCAGGACTGACCCCTGGGGCACTCCACTTGAGACTGCCTGCCAACTAGACCTCTAGCCATTGATCACTAGCCATTGAGCCTGATGATCCAGCCAGTTTTCTATCCCCCTCACAATCCATTCATCCAACCCGTACTTTCTCAGCTTGGCTGCAAGAATGCTGTGAGAGACCATATCAAAAGCCTTGCTAAAGTCAAGATGTATCATGTCCACTTTAAGGGCATCCCTTAAAGAAGAGAGGCCCCATTCATCTCCAGTGGATGTTTGCTGAAAAGGATGGCTCTTGTAGTCCCGGCACAGCAGAGTTGACCGGTAACGGGAGCAGAAGTATTTCATTGGTCCCCCTGCTCTGTGAGAGGGGGACAAGTTCTCCAGAAGACTGAGCTGGGGACAGGACTAACTGGTATAAGACAAACACCCTGCAAGGAGGGACTGCATCTGCCTCCCCAGACATTGGCCAGGGTGGTCACTCTGTATGCAGGAGGCAGTTGGGGAGCTGACAAGCCAATTTCCTTCTAGTCCTTACAAATGTTCTGGGAGAAAGGAGAAGCCTATTGGAGAGGACAGCTGACAGGAGCTGGCTGCGGGGGCAGGAGGCGGGGGGCAGCTGATGGGTTGAACGTCAGGATTTTGCAGTGCTCAGCTGCCACAGAAGCATGTGTATCAGACAGAGCATGGTTAGACAGATATGCTGAAGCTGCACTGACAGCCTCAGCCTCTTGACCAGTGAATACAGTGAGCCCTGAAGCAGAGGGTCACAGGGAGGAGGGTTGAGGTCTGATGCCATACCCCTAATCCTGATTAACCATCCGAGGCCTCAGACTAGAGCAGCTGTGATAGTGGGAATAGGAGCTTTTCTTCCTCTCCTGCTACAGAACGGATGGAGAAGAAATGCAAGAGGAAGGGGGCACAGTTGTTCCTCTATGGCTATTTAGGGACAAGGAGATGGAAGCCAATCAGGTGGTCCTGACCCAGCTCGAGAGATGGCCAGCTAAGGTGACAGCCACAGAGCCACCCCCAGAGGGTACCAGAGTTGGGAGAAAAGGGCAGGATGCTCCAGCAAGGCTGAGTGAGGCAGTAGGATCCTGGTGGCAATGGGAGCTGAAGGATGGGAGGCGGTGACCAAACTTGACTGGAGCTGTCTGAAAAATTTGCATGCTCAGGTCATGTTTCAGGGTTGCACAACCTGGGATCAGGTTCCAGGACTTGCAGCACATGGTTTACACAGCCCTAGAGCCAGTGGAAGGTCATGTGCAAGCAATGGGATGAACCAAATAGGATCTATCAAGTCACAGCCTAAACAGAGCAGGCTAAATTCTGCCTTCCCTCCCCATCTGTGCAGTTCTCCTGAGGATAGCGAGGTCACTAAATGAAGGCACTGTCTGCCCCGGCTCTACATGGACTAAGCAATGTTAATTCATAAGGAAACTTCTGCTGTTCCTGTGAAGGAGGATTATACCCTTCATCTATAACCTGTGGCCGTGCCATGGAGAAAAGGAGTGAGACTGAGCTTAGTGCTGCTATTTTAACTGAGATGAGAGAAGTTGAATGGAATAAATAATTTAATTGCAGACACATTTGAAAACCATCCTAATTGTTTTATAACAGGCTGCAGGGAGACACAAAGTGATGGTAATTACTGTATGCCAGATGTCTGCATGGGTTGCCTTGACAGAAGAGCACAGCATGTGGCTTTGTGAGTGGAATTTGTGGACTGAGTTCACTGGAAAGGGTCCATCCAATGTTTGGCGACTCAGTCAACTAACAATGACTGATGGCTCCTTGGTCTGCATCCTGCCCCGTGTGTTGCATGGTGAGATGGCTCAGGGGCAAATCAGTAAACTGCCGCTGACTCTGCCTTTACCGCTCTGCTGCTTGTTAGTTACGTTGCCTGTCTGCCCACTCACTTCTTTTTTTAGTAAACACACCTCGTAAAAAGTGACTGCCTTGAAGAGTTTAAAACATGAACAAACATTGCAATGTGAACCACGTTAATAATGGAAACGAGGGGCTCAGAATAACAAAGCGCCAATTAGTTCCACACTAGGTGGGTGGGTGTGCAATCCAGTGTCTCTTTGGGTTCGTTTACAAATGACAAAATATATGTCCCCGTCAAAGGGTTGTCAAACATCCTGTCTGTCAGAGTCTCTAGTAAGGATAACAGTTTGCAATGGCCTGCAGGATTTCCGCAGAAGCTTGGGAGGGTTTTCCTGTTGTGTTAGCATTTTGTATTTCAATTTTTCTTTAATCACATTGCTGTGGTCTTAATAGGTTAATGTTTTATTTCCTGGTAGAGTGGGGCTGAATGGGTGGGAAGGTTCTCCAGCTGTACCTTTGATAAAGTTATCCTGTATACCCAGGTTATTGTACCCCTGAACCAGTGGGCCCAGAGAGCTGTTGCATCTCCTTCAATAGAGGCTCCAAGAAGAGGCTAGATAAGCTTCCGTGCATACAGGTTTAGGGACAGTGCCTCCTGCCTTCTGCAGAGAGCTGGACAAGATATGACTGATGAAAGTTGCTTCTAATCTGATGACTCTTCCTGGATATTATCATTCTCCATAGGATGTCTCCCCAGAATGTCTCCTGTAACCAGCAAAGAGAGCAGAAGGGCCTATGGCAATAAAGCAGTTTTTTGACCAGATTTCTCTCTACAGCTAGATCCTTTTGCCTTTTAATCATGCATAGTACTGAAACACCCAAGGTTGGATACAGATTTAGGGAGTTAAAGTTTCCTGTGCGAAACACCCTGGTCTTGGCTGACATTGTCGTGGCTATTTGTGCCACTGCACATGTTACAAATATTTACTGTAAATCTGGATCAAAAGCAGCACTCCTGGCTGATCCCCAGAAGCAAAGTGAACATGTGCAGAATTAGTAATGGTGCTTTTGGCAGTTGTGTTTACACCAACTTTCTTTGTTGTGTTACAGGGTCCACCTGGTCCCCCAGGACCTCCCGGACCTCAAGGAGCCCCAGGACCGAAGGTTAGCGTGACCTCTGTTATGCAGACAGTAACCCACAGCATGGGGCACACAGCGGCTACTCACCACATCCTCATGTCAAGCTTCTCTGTGTATCGATAGGGGTTTTCCATGTGGAACAGTGGGTGGATGCATCCCCCTGTGACAACAGCTTTTAGCAAGGCTGGACAAATGTGTCTCATAGCACAAAAGGCGACATGCAGGAAAGGTTTTGATATTGGGCATCTCCACTTCTGAACCTGTATGCAGGAGAAGGAGCATTACAACTTGTGTCTGAACAAATAGAACCCTTTTACTTGGATGCAGGAGCATATTTGTTCTTTTGTGCCATTACTGGTCTGAAACCCTTTAATGAATGAGGGCACCACACGGGAGAGTCCGTGGGCAGATTCATGGATCATGGGTGCAGTCTTGGTCCCACTGAAATCAAGTGGACATTTTCCATTGATCAGTGGAAGTCTGGATTTCATCATTGATCAAGACAATGCATGTGAGGGTGCAATACACTTAGCTATTGATACTCACAGGTTCTAGGTTGAGCTTATTTCCTCCTGTTGGCAGCTCTGCTAATGAGGTTTAGCACATCTTAGTATTTTCACATGCACATCTCTTAGTTACAAAACTAGGGTAGAATATTTAGTCAGTAAGTAGTAAATAATAGTTAACTGGTTATTATTTCTTTAAAACAAGCACGCATAAAAATACCTTGCTAGGGAGAGGTATTAGCATGGTCCAGCTCTTAATGTTCCTCTTTCCTTCAGCACAATTCAAATTTTCATTGAGTTATGAAACCTGGCACTTCACTTGAAAAACACAGATGTCATTTTCTACCTCAGGCTGCTCACGAGCCTTACAGTACTGAGGAGCTGCCCTCCATCACGTCTGGTGGATGGATACCCAAATGGAGAATTTCCTAGTGTACAAAATGCTTTTAAAAAAAATTCTGACCTTTATTCCTTTGTGCTACTTCAGGGAGAGCTTGGATTGCCTGGGCCACCTGGAGTTGATGGAGAAAAAGTAAGTGGGATACAGTTTTATACAATGAAACACTATGTTGTGGCAGGCAGTGGTGTAGCTGAAAGGTCTTTCCATTGGCCATGGATAAGTGCAGCTTTCAGTCTGAGCAGGCAAAGAAAACAGTCTGTATTCTGTGGCATCAGCTTGTTCATCTGTTTTCCTCTGAATTCATTTTCCTTTGCTGAGACTCCTTCAGTTTATAAGAAATTGTTTGCATCCAAGATGGTGGATTTAAATGGTTTATTTTACAAGTAATTTGAGACGGTCTGTAATTCTTTAATAAACGTTTAAAATCTTAAATTGCTGTCTTCACGACAAAAATCAGTATTTCCACTGTTTAATGTTAAAGCATGCTTCCTGTGTTCTGAAGAATATAAAGAATTAAAAGGCAGATGTGCCTGTTGTTCTTTTAAAAATATATGTAGCTCTCTTCTAATGAAGCTCTGTTGTACACTGTAGGGTCCTAAAGGATCTAAAGGAGATGCAGGAACCCCTGGGGCAATGGGACAAAAAGGAGAAATAGGAGAAATGGGCCTCTCTGGTCCACCGGTACGTGTCTCTGTCAATGTGCATAAGCCGCTTATTGCTTTAGCCTATTTGGTTTCCCAAGATGTTACGTGTCTTGGCATTTAATTAGCTTGTGATGCCCCTATCAAAACAATGTTGCTGTTAACAGGGAGGACTCCTAAGCTCTTCATTTCCCCATTAGCAGTACTATTTATGCCTTGGTATGGTAAAACTCACCATGAGCCACTGAAAATATTTGCAAATGGCATTGCCCACCTAAAGCTGCTATTAAATGCAGTAAGTGATCTGCTAACAGTAAGCACAGATAATTGTCTGAATAAAAAGGGGCACATCTCTAGCAAGGAGTATGGGGACTGAGTTGTATTTGAATGTTAATGGGCTAAAAGCTGTCCTCGCATCTCTTCCTCAACAGTAATGCTGTGACCATTCAAGTTGGATACAGCTATTATTGTACAAGTTTGGGCTATGCCTCTGTCCAACCGTAAAACAGAGTGTCTAGATCTTGGTAAATACGACGAAAACTCATTCAAGGGGGGGGGGCAGAATTACATTGATTTATGAAGCAGTAATGTGTCACATTTAACAGTTCTCAGTGGAAGCAGGTTCTCAAACAACATAGTTTGTATAGACCCTTGCAAAGCATTTATGTGGGTCTTTAATTCCCAATTAAGTCAGTGAGATTTAGGCCCATACATAGAATAAAGCTGTGCTTAGTTGCTTTGCTGAATGGGAACCATGAATGTAAGTGGGCAATGGTGCAAGGCACTTGGAAATCAATGCAGCTTTAGGCAGACAGGCATGAACAATGCGCAGAATAAGATCTGAATCTTGGTCTGTTCCACCCCCGACCCTCAGCAAGACAACTGTAACAGTGGCTTTCCCAATACAGAGCTATGCTTAAAAATTGGGTAGGGGAGGGAAGACGCTTTCATACTCGCTCACAAGCAACAGCCTTGCTGAAGCAAATGAGAATTACTTGAAATAAGACTTCAGGATAAGGGAAGGGAAATGTATTTTTCTCTCTTTATCAGCATATCGGGAGATCTAGATTATGACTGTTCTTACCGTTTAGGGAATTGATGGACCAAAAGGAGAAAAAGGAGAAACTGGATCCCCATGCTTGCAGAATAATCACGTAAGATATTAGCTTACAATGGCTATGAGGCCCTCGGTCATAGTGAGGTCAATCTCATAAGAAATCAGCGTGTGCAAGAACTGGAGTTAAATCTTCAGTATGGATACCTGTAGGGTAAATGAGCAGAAAAGGCATTTGAATTCCAGATGTGCTTTTCACTAGAACTGCTGCACGTTTTCATTGCAAAGTAAAGTCTTGTGGCACATCTTTTATAAGGCAACAAAGTTAGACATTTGCTTGTTTTAGAACTTGTGTCAATCAAGAATTTTCTTACTAGGAGGGTAGTGAAGCACTGGAACAGGCTACCCCGAGAGGTGGTGGACTCTCCATCCTTGGAGGTTTTTAAGACCTGGCTAGACAAAGCTTTGGCTGGGATGATCTAGTTGGGGCTGGTCCTGCCTTGAGCAAGGGGTTGGACTAGATGACCTCTTGAGGTCCCTTCCAACCCTAAATTTCTATGATTCATTCAACTAGAAATATTTTATTATATCCTGTTCTGAAAAGTTTTTGTGAATATTGCAGCTCTGTAAGATTTTTTTAATCTTTTTGTTTGCTTTACCATTTTTAAGGAAATTATACTGATAGTTTTAGTTAAAGCTTTGTATGAGTGACAAGAGAACAGAGATGATCTGCATTCGGAACTGAGCAGGAGGGACAGTATTTCAAAGAAAATTAGAAAAGTTCTATTTCTCTTGCTTCCGTTTTGTGACTAGCAAACGCGCTGAATTTGAATATTTTCTTGGGTTGTTTAATGTCTAAAGCTAGGCAAGCCCTTGATGAATATGTAATGAATTTGTTAACTTGCTCTACAGAAAAGAGTGTTATTAGTTTAAAGTTGTTATGGCCATCTTTGCTGATTAACAGGGCAGAACACTGCATCATGTGACAGTGATTCAGTTCCATGTGAATTTTCCATTTTTAAACTGTTTGTTTCCTTTGGCATATTTACAATACAGATAGGCCTATCTAAACTAGTGTATCTAGTCACTTTATTATATCGTGGCATTTCTTTATGCAGATCATACCTGAGCCAGGACCTCCTGGATTGCCGGGCCCTATGGTAAGACTATGACAAAGTAGCACATACAGTAGACAAGAACTGAGGCTTCATAAACATGATAAATGTGTTTTAGGAGTAGGTCTCTTCTTTGCACTTCAGTTTGCCATGCACGGTCTGAGTGGCTAGAGACAAATGGACTGTAAGGTGCTTCCAAACTAACTACAGGATGATTTCTTGGATCCTTTAGAACAGGGGTCGGCAACATTTTTGGGCAGAGTGCCAAAAACACCCACAACTTCAACCTGTAAGATGTTGGCATGCCAGGGGCGGATGGCAGGGGAGCCACAAAGGGCCTGATCCTTGTTGAGGCCAAAAAACAGAGTCCTTGACAAGAAATGTTTGAGATGAAATGATTAGGTACAGAAATAATCGTCCCAGACAGACTCATAGTGTTAACAAACAAACAACCACCTGAGCAAGCAAACACAAAAGATTTGGGAACAGATCTTCATTGGTATGTAAACCTGGTTTTCAGACACCCCGTTCTCTTTCCTGCAGGGTCCTCCAGGGATCCAGGGGCCTAAGGTGAGTCAGTGCATTATATGTTTGTCACACAATACTTCCAGGCTGCCAGGGCATTATTTAGAGAGAACACAAGGGGCTCTGATCAGAGGGCTGATAAGGGTGCTGGTCACCGAAAGCATCCTCTGACTGCTGTTGGGAGTTGTAGGCACTCGGTGGTGTTGAAAATAAGGCAGGTGTTGTATGAGGAGGACTTCCTCCAAATGGATTTATGAACTTGGGGCTGCTTTGTCGTTCTGCTTGCAAGCAACAACATAGTGCTACGCCCGATCTCACAGCTTCTGTGTTTATGCCTTTACTTGCACATATTACTGGTCTGACAGCTAAATGCAAAGTCCTTCAATGAAGGGAGGGGAATAAACACCTGTCATGACATACGGTGCTCTCTCCTGTGTTTACATGAAGATAGGATTGATGTACTCATTGGTCTCTTACAGGTCTAAGTACCGTGATCCTGCGCATGGACCACGCCAGTAACTTTCTGTTGGACCTGGACCTGCCCTCAGTCATGCACCAGGGCACAATTCCTGTTTCCTTTAGTGGCAGTTTTGGTCAAGCGTATGACAGCAGACACTGTCCAGTACTGTGCCCTCAGTGAACCTCATTCTCTTTTTCATGCAGGGTTTAGATGGCGCAAAGGGAGAAAAGGGAGACAGTGGTGAGAAAGGAGCAAGTGGTGATGTTGGGCCACCTGTAAGTAGGCTAGTTTTTTTATGTCTGATACCTCCTAAATTCTAGCCTTTGTGCTACAAGCAATCTTTCAGGAGTGCTTTTCCAAGTCCTTCTCAGAGGTTGTTTTTCTTTCCAGGGTCCTCCCGGTTCCCCTGGACTTATTGGTTTACCAGGTACCAAAGGAGAGAAGGTAATCATTCCAGGGGAAAGGGGAGATGAAAGTATATTGTGATTTGAACTAACTGGTTAAGAGGGTGCATGCCCCCCATCCAGTCCAGGATACAGTCTGGATTGGACTCCTGGGTCACAGGTGCTATGGTATGAATGACTGACTAGCTGTCCTCTAGTGCAAGTACAAGGGGTCTCTGTTTCAGGAGCAGCAGATCCAAGCAACCCCAATGTTTTCAGTTACTCCCTATGAGTTGGAGGTCAGTAGAGTTGCATCAGGTACAATTCTGGCTGATCACTCACAATCGCAGTGGACTCCAAGCAGTCCTGCTTGGTTTATCCACTTTATCCAGTAAAATGCATTTGCTCCTAAGGAGACATGGCAGTGACACTGAGAAATCATTTGCCTACTGGAAGGGAAAAGAACCTTTTCTTCTAATTCTCCCCAGCACTTGTTTGCTTGGTATATTAGTTTTGTACATAATACTCAATCCTGCAATTGAACCCACACCTGCAAGGTGTTTGCCTTAGGTTATACGAAGATGCACGCTGTACTTGGGACAGTATTTCTCCAACTAAGTCATCAGTCTGCAGACAACAGACCAGACAATTAACATGGCACCTTCTTTTCTATTTCTACAACTCTAGGGGAAGCCAGGAGAGCCAGGGTTAGATGTAAGTACTTGATCTGTTACGTTAATTGTGGCACCAGGAGCATCAGTAATGTGCATGTGAAATTTAAATGATTGGCATTTCAGTTTTACAGACAGTTGCTTTCTAACACTTTATGTCCCATTTAGAATTAAATCCATTGTGACCAATGGCTGGTTTGATGAAGGAGGAATGGATTAGTTGCATCACACACTGATTGTAGCCATAAGACCTCTTGTCTCCCCAGTGCATGTCGCCCTCCTACACTTCCGTTTTGTGCCACCTAATGACTGAGGAACTTTTTTTTAATTAAGTATATCTATATCAGACCCAATAAAATCAAAATTCCTAAGATATAAGATGCCATCATGGTATACTAAACCCCCACCTTTCTGCAAAGAAGTCCCTAATGTGCAAAAATGAACAACGGGAAAAATTCACATTCATAGCCACTGATGCTGGCATTTAAAATAGATGGGGTGGTCCTAACTGATCTTGTGAGCAAGGCTGTATGTAATTTGAGTTGTTGGAATTAAACTTACAAATCTTTTCCCCGTTTCAAACTGTCTTGGTAGGGTTTCCCAGGTCTAAGAGGAGAAAAAGGAGAAAAAAGTGAAAGGGGAGAGAAGGTGAGAACATGTCACATCTTTCCTGGTCACAAAGGGCCAGATCCTGTCTGTGCGGCCTGCATAACGAAGCCAAGAAGTTCTACCTAACTTTGCCCAAAGTTTATTCTCAAAATCTCTTTAAGTTCTGACACTATTGCTGTCTTGCCCAAGCAAGACCCCAGTGAAAATTTGAGTCAGTGACTCGGGTGCTCTAGATGTTAAGACCCCTTTCAAACTTATTAATACCAGTGCACTTGTAACATGGGTAAGGACAGTGGCTGGGTCAAAATCCATGTCTCTTCTACCTCGCACCTTACTAAGGCCTTAGGCATTCCACTGACTAAGGGGAGCAGGAATAGAGTCATTTAAAAAAAAGGAAACACTTCAAAATTATTGATTAGAAATTAAGTTGCACCAGACAGGGAGCTGGGAATGTAGGAATACCTGGGAGCCCTGGCTGAGCACAGAGCTTTATCCCTTGGAAGCTGCAACCCCTGTGGTTTCCAACCTCCCAATTCAGAGGTAGCTGGGAGCCTGGCAGTTCTGGGTCCCCAGCTCTCTGGGAGCCCACCAGGCACTGCCAGTTGGGTGGGTATGAACTGGCAGGAAAGCAGGCAGATCTTTGACAGATGCCTGTCCAGCTGCTGACAAAAGTGAATGAGAGCCAGCCTTTTCTGACAAGAAAAAGTTCCAGCAGAATTTTTCTGACCAGCTTTAATTTGGGGTGTTGCTTTTGTTTAAATCAAACCATTGCCCTTGAGGCCTATTGCTTGAAGCCACCTTCAACTCTTTTGTGTCCACAGGGAGAAAGAGGAATACCAGGGAGAAAGGGAGCCAAGGGGCAAAAAGGAGAGCCAGGCCCTCCTGGACTGGATCAGCCGTGCCCAGTGGTATGTGTTCATCTTGCAGATGGGAAATAGTTCGAACTGAAATGTTTAAACAGCTTTACCTTACATGTAATGGTTCCCAGAGTACCATTACTTCCACAGGCAGCACAGCCAGCGGAGGGTGATGCTTGAGAGTCCTCTTATCTTTCACTAGATTGGAGCAGGTTTCCATTGATTTTTTTTTTCACTTTTTTTTCTTTCTTTTTGTTTGCCCTGCTGAGATCAAAGCTGTGATATATTGTTCCCCTTAATGACCCATCAGAACAATGAACTTTCACAGTACATAGCTCAGTCTTTTAAAAAGGTGTTACGTCTTCTAGCCTCCGCATGTCTCTCTCTCCAGATCCTGAATGTGTTGGGATGACATGATACTGAGGGAAATTTCCTCCCTGGTATAAGCAGGACAAGCTAATGTTGGCTTCTGGTGGATCACCTTTCTTCTCTTAGGGATGGACACAGGAACCATTTGCTGGTACAGTGAAAGAAGCAGGATTTTATCATGCCTCAGCTGTTCTGTTGTAACTGCCCGTGTGTATGCTCTTACCCCATGATATGTAGAAGCTAACCCACAGTACCTAACTTCTCTTTCACTGTGGGCTTAGTTTAGCTTTCACCTACCACAGGGTAAGAATGATCACATTGGCAGGTATCCGGAGCAGCTAAGGCATGATAAAGCCCTGCCTGCTTCTAACCCATTGTAGGTTGTCCATGTGTCCATACCTTCAGTGTGCTAAATCATCTTACTCATGTTTTTAATTTCACTGTTACCAAGATGAATTTCTGGCTAGTCTTTCTCACATCCTACGCTTATTTGATGACGTTCTTTGTGGTGAATTTGCTGCTGGGAAATGACTCTGAGGCCTACGCTTTAGAAACAGATGTCAAATAATGTGAAACCACATTCTTTCCCTTCCTGATGAAATCGCTCTATCTGTCCAGGTAACATTTCTGTGTCCCTTATCGTTCTCAACAAGCAGTTACTTTTTAAACAGGGAGACCGTAATATTAAAGGCGACAAAGGGGAGTCAGGCTTCCCAGGCCTGGAGGGTGTGAGCCTGCCTTGCCCTTTGGTATAGTATCTCTGCTCCTTTTCTGTCTTGCATGCCCTTGTGCATGTGTCTGCACCTGCAAAGCCCTTTTCATTCTGAACACATGCATCCATCCATTCCCCCTAAGGAGAGAAGGAAAGGCAGGTTAGATGTGTAGCTTGTCCTCCATGTTATAGTTGGCAAGTCAGCAAGTTGAAATCCAAAGGTTATCTGAAGAGGCCTGTGCTTGGCTCTGCTGTGGGAAGTGACCGTTTACATGGCCAACCGGAAGAGTTCATAGGGAAGAATGCATCAGAAAATGATGCCCGTGTAGACTATCTGTAGTTGTGTAAAGCAGCCAAAGGGCACAACACACTTATTCTTTCCCAGCGCTAAATAGGTTTCACTTGTATTCAAGAAATCAGATGTATATGGCAAGCCCCAATAAAATCCTGACGCTTGCTTCTCAGAGATGTTATATTTACCAAAGTGTTTCTCATTGTAATTATTGGGAATGCTTCAACACGGGTAAATACTGTGGAGTAGTAAATCTGATGTATGTGATCTCATACCTCAGCAAAATGTAACTTGTCGATGCAGTATTTATGTTTCCTAATTACAAAGTATGGAAGTGGACTTTAATGGTTTGCAGACCCTTCCTTCAAGTGGTGTCACTTCATTTCTTGGCCTAGGCTGCTGAAGCATGTTGCGGTGTTCTGTTGAATAGATTTTCAGTCCAGAACCGGATAGCACGATCCCTCTGTAGAGTTTGCAAACTAGGTGTAGAAAGTGCCTTGTGATTCTGTGGGGGAAGAGACTACCTAAACATAGGTGATTGTTACTGTTGCCAAAAATGAGGATGTAAGCTGCATATTTGTAATGAAGAGATACTGGCAGCCCAAGAGTTACCCTGACTGCACATGTAATAGATAATTCTTACTAGTTCTGTGGGAGCACTGTGTCCTCACCGTTGTTTTATGCACAGAAGGCACATACAGAAATGGACATAACGCTCTTCAGAAGCTGAATGTTCATGGCTTTATCACCTGTTCCTCCCAAGGCATCTCTGAATTAGAGAGTTGGTTCATATTTAGTGAGGTCCTTTCCTCTCTCTAGGGGTCCTGCATGTCATTGCATTTTCCCTTGTGATAGCAAAGTTGTACCAACTTCCTGATTGCTACAGGTCTATGATGCCTCTGTCTGTGGTTAACTAGTCTTTTCTCAATTACTCCCACTGAATAGTTGGCTACTCCATGAGTCTTCCCATTGAAATCAGTGGGGCAGGTCAGGATTTCTCAACAGGACTGAGTACTGAAGGGTCCAGTTCAGAGAAAGAGAGATCGCTGGGGAAAAAACAGCTGAAATCGGCATGCTACCAAAAGGCATTTCCCATGTCCTTCCCTCCACACATGTTTCTGATTGCAGAAATCACAACCTTTTGAGTCAGGTTGTGAAATGAATTCACCGGGATTCCAGATGTTCTGTATGTTTTTACAATGTTTTTCTGAATGTACAAGAAAACAGTCACGTAATTTTTTTTTGGTGCTAATGCAAATTAGAATGAGATTACTCCTGATACACTAATTATCATACTTATGTTTACATTTGTGCAGTTATAATGTGTGTGCAGTTATAATGTGTGTTTCTGCATGTCATTAGAGTTTGTCTTGGTAAGCTGTGTAGCTGAATCTTGTACCTTCATAATGAATGAGTTGGATTTTGTTTTTCACTGCAATTTCCAACAGAAATTAAACTTGTGACTTAATTTTTCAGGGACCAGATGGATTGCCAGTACCAGGATGTTGGCACAAGGTATGATAAATATCCTGGATTACTGAATGGCTTGAATGTGATTGCATTTTGAGTGGGTAGCTTGTATTTGTGGACTATGCAACAGAGAACATATCTTGCATAGAAAATGCCATACTAGATAAGAGCAGTGATACTGGGCTACTGACTCTAACAGTGGTAGAACAAGATACTGCCCTGGAAATGCAAAATACTACATTGCTGTGAAGTACCCTTCCCGTAAATTTTATCTATAGAAGGGAGGGGTGGGGAGGATTCAGGCCAGCTGTAATTAAACCTCTGATTTTGGAAATCAGTAGCACCAATAATCAGGTTACTTTAGTTTATTCGCATGAGTAGTCCCCTTTTAGGTCAAAGGGGTCACTCGTGTGACCAAGCTACTTGTGCAGAGCTTTGCTGACTTAGGCCCTGAGTCACTGATCTCGTTATACCTGATATGTAGATACAGTGACACTTCCCTACATTCAGCTGTCCTAAATTACGTGCTCAAATAAATGCACTTATTAAACATGGAGGCCAGGTTTTAAAAATGGGGGTTAGAGAGGGCAAGTGTAGGTGTCAAATAGCATGTGTGTGTGTTCTAGTTCGGAAATGCAATAAAATGGAGACAAATGCTGAAGGCAGTTTGTAAAAGTAAGAACTACTTTGAGGTTGAATTTTCTGTATTCTTCTACACCAAACCATGAGGCTATTCAGCCTAGAAATAAATTACAAATAAATAGTATTGCAATTATTTTTCCCGATGAAAAATCCTCCAATACTATCTGTGACCCACAAAGTATTTGAAAAACCTTCACTCTGAGAGCCCAAATGTCAAGTTTCAAGGCTGACCTAGTATTTGTGAAGTTAGTTAATTTTAGTGTACCAGGAAGGACAGAAGCTTAGTTCTGTACTACTAGACATCCCCTGGCACCTGATTAGTCCAGGTGTTTAGCAAGGAAAAATGGGTTTGAACTTAATTTTCATTCTTGCTTTACAGTGCTTTATTGTCAGGCTTTGCCCACACTATACCTTTAGCTAGGTATGCAACTGTTGGGTTTTTGGTCCCCTCAAAAGGCAGAAGCTAGGGCAGGGTGACACCTACAGGCTAACTCGTCCCCTCAAAGAGTTAGAAATAATTCAGCTTCACACAGCAGCTTTTCTACCATCAGATTTTTGCGTCCACGCCACCCTCCCCTCCCAGTGCTGCTTAATTGGGTCTGTATCAGTGCGTTTGGGACATTGTAGTCTGGTATCCCAGTGCCTCTCAGTGGGAGAGGAGATAGTGCTACATGACATGCCTCTAGTGGGTCAATACGTGCATTTCCAGCAATGCTTGCTAACGTATGAGACAGCTATGAGGCCAAATGCTTGGACCAGCCAAGAGGATGGTTACACCTGGAAAACAATGCTGTACATCTAATTGGAGGCTGGAACACACATGACAAACTAATGCTCAAGCAGCTAAGTGAGGTTACTAACCTGGTTTTAACTTGAACACAAAACAAAGTAAGATCGTATCACTAGCTGGTTACAAACTCAGTTAAAGTGGGGTAACGGCCTTCAAGTACCAGTGTTTAATTCTACAACAAGTCATCTGGCTCTACTTTAATATTAAAAAAAGTCAAGGGGGGCACAGCCTGTACAGTATTAACAAGTAATTGCTTGGCACTGAATGTAAAGCTGCATTTCCTACTGTGTAACTAAAATATTGTCTGTCTGTGTGTTCTTTTTCAGTGATCGCTAAGCATGAAGCATAAAGTGTGTAAATAGTAATGTGATATATTTTGTTCTTTTTTAATTTTTTGTAAAAAAAACAAAAAAACAAAAAACTTCAACAGTAATATATTGATCGTTTTTGTACTGGATGCTGTCATGTATGGACCTTTAAAATGCTCCGAAGTTTGTCAAACCTATAGGAGATGCATGATAACTTCAGGAGCTGATGATAAAGACAAAAACTGCAGTGGCTGGGAATGCAAGTAATTTGCTGCTAACGCTACTGTGTGGATGTGGACTAACTGAGCTGAGACAATGTGTTGCCTAGTGTGCCTTACAGCATGGAGGAGGGAGATCCCTGTGCTCAGTGTGGCTTTCAGCTCTGCCTTCCCATTGCACATGCCTTCCAAAAGGGTGAAAAACTCTGGCTGAAGGCAAAAAAGAAAAAAAGGATGCAGCCCTAGAAGTGGGAGAAGCTGCGGCCTTTGCACCTGGCAGAATCAAAGGAGGACTCTCAGCTTGCAGAGAGGGCAAGGCCCACACCATTTGCTGCTACGTGCTCCCACCAGGATGGAAACAGCAAGACTGTGATGAAGTACAGTTCCTCCAAGTACCTGTGGATGTTTCAGTGACTGTCAACAATGCTTCTCTCTCTTGGACAGAAACATCTATTTAACCTCCTGGGGCTGGGGTCTGAGGATATGCAAGTCTTGCTGGGGATTCCTTCTGTTTACTTCAGGATCTACAGGATTAAGGGGACTTGACCTGCCAACAGCTTGCCTTTCAAAAAGACTGTTCATGCTATTTGGTTTACAAGCTCAGGCATAGTGCGAGCTCTGCTAAAAGTTTCTTCCTTGAGCCACAGGGCACTTAAAATCGCAACCTGGGGTTCCCATAAGTTGGGAGTAGATGACAGTATGAAATACAGTATTCAGTCCCTTGGATAAGGTTTGTTTTGTCAATGTGATACAAGTTCATCTGCACTCTCCTGATTCTTCCCTTCCTCCTCCAATTCTCTGTCTCTTTGCTGCAAATAAATGTGGCCTCAGACTCACTCCATGCAGCCCAAACATTCAAAACCAGCCTGTGAGAGCTGAGATGATAATGGCCTAGTATTCCCATTCAGAGTGCTTCAGTCAGCTCCATCAGCTTCTGTTGAAGTGTGAACATCCTGAGAGGCTAGTTTCTCCTAACGGGATGGGAGAGGACTTCACAGTGGAGGCCGGTGACACTGGGAAGGGGGCAGACAAAACTCAGATGTACCGGTACACGATTTTGGTAATATTTCCTGCATCCAGCAAAGGCCATTCATTTTGGGATTCCCATCAAGGCTGGAAAAGCCAACCACATCCACCTTAACAGGTATCCTCCTTGGAAGATGTAGCTTAGGCCTGGCCTAATGAACCAACCATTCACAAACCCTGCACTAATAGGACACAGTGATTTTTGTAGGTGATGTGTTGATGGAAAGAGGCAGGGGAGGAAAGACCAACAGTGTAGAAGTAGGGCAAATGGGAGAAACTGAAGAGCAATGGCAGGAACAGCAAAGCAGAGCTGGCCTGGGAGAGCAGCTGTGGGTCCATGCCTGGATATGACTAGTGGCATTGCAATGGGCTACCCAGAGGTGGAGGGAAGGGAAGAGGTCAGCCTCTCGAAAGGAGCTGCAAAACTAGCTGAGAAGAGATAACTCTGAAAGAAAGAAGTTGAGGGCAGCGGTAGCATTGTCACCCCTTTGCCCTCTTCCCAACACATCATGTTATTTTATCATGGGACTAGAAGGGAGGTGATTTTTAACTCTCCTTATGGCACTGGCAAGACTAGTCCTAAAATAATGTATGTATTTCTGGTGGCCACTATTTGAAAATGATGATGAATAATTAGAGGGCACAGAAAAAAGCCCCCCACAATGATGCAAGAGTTGGAGAAAATGCCTAACAGTGAGGTTTAAGAGTTCAATCTATTCGCCTTAAGAAAGAGATTGAGAAGGGACTTGATTATGCTGTGAAAGTACCTTCACAGGGATGAAACACTGGGTCCTAACAGGAAAGGGCAGGTCACAAAACCAATCACTGGAGTTGAAGCAAAACAAAATCAATTAGGAAATAAGGTAATATTGGTCACAGCACCGCTGCTTACCCACGGGGACAAGTTTCCAAGGGAAGTGGTGGATTCTCTTGATGTCTTCAGTTCACAAATGGATGCCTTTTTGGAAGATGCCTTTTGCCAAGCAAATTACTGGTCTCAATACTAGGTGACGGGTTAAATGTGAGGGCCTGTGGTATGCAGGTCAGACTAGGTGATCTAATAATGCCTTGCAGCCAGAAACTTTATGACACTAAGTGGGGGGAGAAGGAAGGATGGTGAATCACGTTTTGCTGTATGTGGATACACTTGGCTTGATTTGAGCCCTGTGTTCAGGTCCTCATCCTGAGTCTGACAAGCATATTCAGGGTCATACTGAACTGAAGATATACAGAAGAATGGGCCCTGGGAGGATGCTTTACCTATGTGAGTCAACTTGGCGCACACTTAATTCCAGCTCTAATAACACGAGCAAAGTAATGTACTTGGAACTATGGGGCGCTTTTCATTAATGTCTCCAGGCATGCAGCTATTTCAGAATGATGTCTGTGACCCCTAGTCACTGCCTTCCTGTATTATAATTACTGGGTCCAGTTAGAAAAATCTCCTGGGAGCATATACAATCCACAGATGAAAGCCTGAACTGTAGGTACTCTTCATGGTAGATGCAAACTTACATAAGACTCAAGGAACTTGTCAGCCATGCTAGTTTTATATTATTTGTCTTGTGCTTTATGACTGTTAAGGCCTATACCATATGCTTTATTTTCCCTATAATTATATTGTTTAAAACTTGTATAAAGTCAGATAAATGAATAGGCCAAGAAACAGGAATTTAACCAACAATAAAAATGTCTTTTATTCCCTTCTAATTCATGAAGTTAACTATTGCCTTAAGTTAGCTAGAAAACTCCCTATGGCTTTTTGCCTTGGAAAAACTTCCCTTATGATCCCTGTTAATAAAGGTCCTAGATCCTGCTATGTTTAAAGTCAAGAGCAAAACTCTCATTACCTTCAGTAGGATGAGATCTGCTGGTGCTGCCTTAATGCACAGCAAATATTTACAGATGAAAGCAAAATTATCTCTTCCAATCCACATGGTGGGTTTCTACATCCTAAATGTTTCACTCATGCTGTCTGGGGCACGTCTCCACCATGGAGTGACTGCAGACAATGCAAGATACTGGAAATGTCCAAAAACGGTCTTCAGTGGAGACTGGAGAGGGAAGATTTTGTATAGGCTGACGGAAGCTAATTTTGCTTCTAGCTGCAGGATGCCCTGTAGCACTAATACTACAGCACAGTGCAACCTCCAAAGCTTTTAAAATGACATCAACTTTCTATGAAGAAATGCACAGACTTGTATGAAACAGCAGCCTGTGGCAGATCCAGTGTTTGTAAGCAGCAGTGATCGCTGCTCTGCCTGAAAGGCCTGTCAGTACGAAGTACTGGCCTAGCGCTTGCCAAGCTGCGGTTATGCTAAGACGGAAAAGCCTCTGCTGCTGCAGAAGCCTGGCGCAGCACTGGAGGCAGGGGCATCCTTTAGCTGAACAGTGCTCTCAGTTAGGGTGGATCCTTGCTCCATGCAGGGCAGACTGCAGGGGATTCCTAACCAGCCTCTACTGAGAATAGAGAATAACATTAAAGCTACCCTCATGGTTGATGCTGCAGGAGCTGTGGGGCCATCTCCGAGCATGAAGTGCTTTGGGCCAGTATCTGCTGGGCAGACTCCCATCTGCCAAGCCCCCTCCTCACTGAAGCAGTTGAAGCCTTTGCGGAGAGATGCTCTATGGAAAGCAGAGGCTGCAGAACCTAAGAAACTTGTTATATGCTGCTCCCCCCAGCCCCGTGTAACCAAGTCACACTGGTGATCTGCATCTAGGACTTTCCAGGCCTTACATGAGGTCCAAAAGCTGGCCCCACACATATTCCTTATTCAGTATATGATGCAGATTAACATCAACTGAATTAGAGGGACACCCTCGTGTCATATTAACAGTCAAAGGTGCAGGCAGAAAGGCTTATTCTCTAGATTTCCCAGGTGCTTTCCATGTACATAAAGCCTGGGTAGCTTTGTTAGACGAGAAATTGCTTTGTGACAATCAGGGAGAGAGATCTGCATTGCTCAGCAAGTTGTTTTCTACTTGTTTGGTTTGTTTGTTTGTTTCCTTTCCAAGATGCTGTAAAACCACATTTATGTAAATCTTTTTGATCAGTTTATTCCGAGTTCACAAACAGCACATGAAGATAAATCTTAATAATGGGCAGTGCTAGTAGCCTAGTCTAAACCCTTGGACCTCAGTAATTACATTACTGAGCACGATGGATTTCACTTTTTTTTCCAAGAATCAGCTCTTTCCGTATCTGACTGGAGAAGCTGCTTTATAGCCAAGCAGAGGAAGCAAGACTAAACATTACCACTAGATGTCAGTCAAACGAAAGATAAAAAATGAGGCTGCTTCTATATTTGAAATTTAGGTCATTCTGAGACTGATTTATCTTCAGCATTAAAATACTTAATATGTAAACTACATGTATTCATCAATAAACATGTATGTGATTTGGATAAAACACTTAAAAACTAGTCTTCATTGGGTGGGAAACAAAGCACAAATCAAATTCATGTTTCATAGTTTCATGTTGTTCATCTGGTTACGTACTATTCAGTTATGTAGCCTGAAGAGAAAAACAACCCCCCCCCCCCCCCCCAAAAAAGCCCCAGAGGCTTTTAGGAGACTGGTCTGGCTTGAATGAAACTATTAAAGTCTGAAGGATTTCATTATACTGCTGTTTAGCCCCTGATCACTCCTCAGATCATTACGCTTACCCTTTGGGCTATGCTTGGAGGACAGGTGCTTGCTCTCAGATTTGCTCCAGGTCCAATCCAATAAAAAAAATGACTGGATCTGGTCAGGTTATTAGCAATATCCTGTCTGTGCCATCCTGCAGTTTGGTCACACTGGGAAATGAGGTTTCTAATACTGGGCAGGAGAGTTCACTGAAGTACAGAAAACAAATCCTACCGAGTCTGATGGGTTCTGCAGCCAGTGCTCAGACAGCATCTACTTGCCTTGATGACGATGTAACAGAGTGAGAACGGGCATCAATCAGTTTAAATCCAGGTTTAATTCCAATTTAATTCCAGGTTCTTGCTAAAAGTTCCAGCAGTTTGTCAGGCCTTGCCTATGTAATATTTCAGGGGAATCTCCCAGCACCACTAAAGTGTGTTAATGAAGCATAGGCAGACAAGGTTCCTTGGGTGAATTTGATATCTTTTATTAGACCAACCCAAACGGTTGGAGAATAGTTATTAAGCAAGCTAGTGGTGCTCAACTTCTGGCCCATAGGGCTGTGTCATCTGGCCTGCGGGGCTCCCCTCGGGTTCAGAAATCTGGCAGTAGAAGAGTGGTGGCAGCATTAGTTGCTGCGGTTTCCAGAACCACAGCAAGTAAAGCTACCACCAGTCCCCTGCCACCAAGCTTGGGAGCTCTGCAAGCCAGATGACATGGCCCCACGTGCCAGATTGTGCTGGCATCCAGGTCCCTCCACTGCCAGATCCAGCATGCTGGATCAAGCCAACACATCAGATTGCACCTGTGCACCGACCCCATGCTGGATCTAGCCTGCAGATTGACCCTGCCCATGTGATCCTCCCTGCGGACTGGCCCCACACCACTTACCTGGCCTGTGGAGCCAGAAGGTTGACTATCAGGGTGTAGCATCATCTATGCTAGCAACAGTTGGGCTGTTCTGGGAGACTTTTCTATAATTCCCAGTGGGAGACGCTGTCTGGCCTTGTCTATTATTTGTCCAGTTATTTCCAATCTTGAACTCATGTTCAGTGTCTAGCATCTGGCAACATCAGGAGCCTCTGGTAGACCACTGCCTGCACGTTAACAGCCTGACAACGGGCCATCCTCTGATAGGGAAGTCGAAGTTTACAGCAGATCTGTTCACATGCTTGGTGGCTTAGCTGAGGAATGTCCCCCTCCATTCTGAGGTGGCAGAGAAAACCCAGTCCGACTCCAAACTGGAAACATTTCTAAACCTGGCACATATTTTCCCTTTCATAGTTCTATGGCAACACCTGGTGTTTGTAATCTATTTTATTTCTTCGTAGGCAGCTTCTTCTCTTTACACACCAATTCTGACATGTTCTGTGTATATATTATTTCTATGGTAATTTTCTCCTATGGTGTATTTAAAAACTGTCTGAGCGTTCCTTCTGATGGAAAAATGCAAATATTTTGTCTGTTTTCATGCAAACCAAAGGATAAAATGTTTCTTAGTGAGCTTTTCCTTTTTTAGATATTCTTGCTCTGTACAAGACACTGAAATGTGTGCAAGTTTGGAACTACAGGCCATTGATGTTAATGCTAAACCTGGCAAGTTTGGAATCTCTCCATAGCAAGATGTTTATTTGGCATGTGCCATAGAGAATTATCCAAATCATTACTCGTATGTTTTTAAGTCTGTTGCCATGATCATCTGCTATTAATAAGGCTGTATGTTTGTTATGACTTCCCTGAAAAGAAACCCAGCACTTTGAGTTGCCTCCTTTCCCCTTCCTTCTGCCAAGAGTTGTAGGACCAAATTTTCAGCAGATGTAAACTTGCTCAGCTTTATTGAATCCAACAAAACTGAGCCAGTTTTACACCTCCAGAGGATTTGGTTCATGATGTGTATTACCTCATCTGCTTGTGGCTGAGACGGGCTGCTTGAGCTTCTACAAACGTGGCCCCGGTTCCACAGTCAAATCCGTGTAAGGGGATCCTCGAACGCAGCAGTCCAGATGCACCTGCGGGATTGGGCCCTGAGTGCTCCCTGCAAGTTATGTAGGCGGGGAACAGGTTTTTCAGTCACTAGATAAACACCACTAAATCATTTCTAATTTGTTTGCAGTAAAATATAGGGCATAACCTCCAAACGCCCTGTAGCAAACAGCTTCGTTAAGATACTGTGGTCCCAGATTTATTCCCATTTTCTTGTCATGACAAACAGCCAGCCTTATTCAGCATAACTGTGTATGTATTCTGTTAGCAAGAAAATTCAATAAACAGAACTGTATTTCTAAAGTAGTATATGCTTGATAGATTAATTTAATGCTGCCCTCTAGAGGGTAACTTTGATAATAGCACATATCTTTTGCACAAGGGTGAATTCTGAAACATGAATCCTGGGGAGCAGGTGGATGTGTTTTTGCATAGTTCTATGGTCTAAAATACCTTTAAAATAATTGTGTGTATTGAAATAGCCCGCTTCATGCATTAGCTTTTTTTTTTTTTTTTTTTTTTTGCTGTATGGTGTTCCCCACGTCAGGAACCATACAACAAGCCTCTTGATTTTTCTAATGTCGCTCTCATGCCCACAGTTAATTAGCTGTACTTCATAGATATAAAAAAAATGTGCAGTAGATGCCAGCCAAGCTTCCATTTTTAAAACTATAAAGAAAAATCTCCCAAATATTTCTTGTTGGCAAAGGCATTATCTGGACCAAGCCAAATATCTAAGTGCTTAGGATTAAAAACTATAGACCAAAACACCTGCTTTAAAAATGTTCTTAGGTAAGTATTTGTAATAGCTGTGGTCCAATTCTGCTCACTGGAGTTGTTCTAAATTCACACCAGCATAGCTAAGAGTAGAATATGCCTCTGTATTTTAACACCTGTGCACATGAGAATAGAGTATAGCCTCAATATTGCTTTATCTCACAGTGTGAATGTGATTTTTTTTTTTTTTTTTTTTTTACTTAAAATGCAAAAATCTAAAACTCTTGGTTCAGAGATGATGCCTTTTATTAGATCAACTGAGAAATTGAAAAAAAAAAATCTTTTTCTGCAAGCTTTCGGGCTCTCTCACCCTCCATCAGGCTTAGGGGAATTTAAAGATGGTAAAAAGTCCCCATATGTAGGAACTTCATTTTTACATAGAGGAAGCTGAAGCTGTTTTTACTTGAGTATTTTTACCCATCACTGATAAAAAGCAGTCACTTTATAATTAAATACTGGTAATTGTTGGCATGTTTAACAGATAGAACTTCCTGCTAGCAAGGAAGATGGTCAAGAAAGTAATTATTTTCACAGATTTTAAAGTGCCCAGGTTACTTGAATGTGGACAGTGACCACAGATGTGGCACGTTGTCTTGGAAGTCATCATCTCTGGCAGCACTATCCATCAGCCTTTACACAGGAAAGAGGGGGTTTTGAACAGGTTTTGTCATTGTGATGAAAAATAAGCATTCCTCTAGGACCACAGAAAATGAAAGAGGAAAAACAACTAGTCACTTCACTCCTGTTCCACACCCAGCCTTATAAATCCCAGACATAAATCTAAATCCAGATTAAATACTTTGGCAACTATAGTTTCATCTTCTCTCCTTGACAACCTCTTGCAAACCAAAGTAAAGCACTTTTCCAAACATATAGTCTCACCCTTTCTTGCTCATAAGTTATTATTTTTAGGCCCCTGGCATATTTTACACTTAAAATGTGATTAACTGGTTAATCTTATTTTTTAAGTGTACCCCAGCCATATGTTCAGGCAATTAATGATGAAATAAAATTAAAAATGTAATATTGTAGTGGCTGATTTCTGTCACCCCTTAAACTGAACAGGCAGCAGGGTGGACCACGCTTGTCTCAGCTGATCGATGGCACTTAGATTTCAGCTTTTCCGTGCAGGGGAGAAGCCTGGGATTATGATTATAATCCTAGGCTCTCCCTGCACTAGCAAGTAGGGCATCATTGGGATCTGACCTCCAATCCCAAAATCACACATCCTGCCATGCACATGGCTAAACATTTTGTGCTAAATGCTGATAATTACAGTTTTAAAAGTCAACCTGAGGTCCATACTCTTATTACATTTTATTTTGATTTCAGAAAGCACTATTGGTTTGTATAATCAGATATAGATTATTTCAGTTAAACAGGTAAGTTTATTTGGGGACCAAGTTTGTATAGTACCAAGTACCCAGTGAAGTTCAGAGGGAGGCCCATGCCTGCTCACTAAAAAGAGAGTTGGATAAGACCCTTAGTTAGTGCATTCTGGTTTATAAGTTTACTTGGGTAGAGTGCAACGGTGTAGAAAGTCTCCAATAATTTAATTTTATCCTACACTGTTGGCTTTTTTCCTTCATTTATCTTTGATTTTCTTTTTGAATATAAAAAAACAGTAAAAGATGTATTCAGTCTAAGTGTGTGGATGGAAAGTCCATTTAGCACAAAATAAAGTCTCAAATCAAAGCTGACGATCCAAACACTGTCAGCAAAACCACCTCCTGTCTGTTGTACCATGCACTATTATTTTGGGTGAATATATCTTTTAAAACTGGCATTCATTATTTCTGAACAGGTCTAGGAGCTATAAGTAATTGTATGAAATCTAAGGGAAAGTCTGATTACTTATGCAGTGCTTCGGAGAATATAAACGATATGTGCATTAACGGCCCTGGTTTGTTTATAGTTATGCTGGTAGGGCCTGATCCTATGAACTATTCTATAAGCATTCCTTATTTATGGAAGTGAATCGCATTCATTTCAGCAGGATTGTTCATTGCCGTACCTACGTAAGGAAATGTTTGTGATTTGGGCCTCTCAAATAGTTCCTTTTTAATGTACTTATATGGTATCTTAAATGACGCTCTTAATATATCACGGGTGTAGGTTGTAGCCGTGTTGGTCTAAGGACATAGGCAGACAAGATTCTTTGGGTAAATCTGATATCTTTTATTAGACCAACTCAAATAGTTGGAAAAATTCTCCTTGTAAGACTATTTCCAACTATTTGAGTTGGTCTAATAAAATGTATCAGATTTACCCAAAGAACTTTGTCTGCTCTTAATATATTGCTTTTTTTTTTTTTTTTTTTTTTAAACAAAGTATTACTCAAAAGACTTAGCTAGCAGTTTCTTTATTTGTAAACCCTGTGCAGTTTTTAGCATGTGTGCACCAGGGAACAAGTGAAGGTTTCTTGTTTTTAAAGAGAGGTATTAACGTAGTACTTCATGCGCATTGTCATGTTAAAATGGTAGTAACTAGTATGGGATCATTTATTTCTGCTTTTTAACTTCGGAATGGACAGGGCATCATTTGAAACCTTCAGTGAATCACTTATTGTGCTTTCACTTATTATAAAAAGGCCCAATATTAATATCTTAAATCTCCCCACACCTTTGTTTTTGCAGTGATGTGAATATGGTGTAAACTGCATCTGCAATCAGGACTCCACTTTCCAAACTGTAAACGTTCTAGCTATTTTAAATACCTGTTAAACATTTTAATGAGGCAAAAGTTCAAATAAAGATTGACACCTGTGTTCATTTTCCCTCCGTTGTATTTTTTCTGTTAGCTGTCAAACAGGTTGTAAATGGAAAACAAATGGTTTATTAGAATCCATATGATTTTAAGTCCATGACAGTATGTTGTTTCCAAGTTATATGTATGCAGAACTTCAACTGCTTTTGTATTTACCAAATAATTCTGGTCAGAGCTGCCTCTGAAGAGAGAGCAGGTTGGTGGCTCTAATTAGTAACAAAGCCTATCGAGCACTTTCCTGTTTCTGTACTCTTTGGCAACTATCGATGCCTATTTGTAGGCATTGCCAAAGGTTTTAAAGCAAAATGAATGGAAAAGATGAGTGGGGGGGCAAATAATGTAACTGGTTTTAAGATGGAGCTTGATATATTTGTAAAGGAGACTCTGCAGTAGGACTGGACTCGCTGATCTACTAAGCGCTTTACAAACGTGTCCGGTTTTCCTGCTCCTCCTGTTGTCTAGTCCTCGATCCACACATGAAACGTGCGCCTAACAGATTTAGTGACAAGGTTCTTGGGGTGAATCTGGTATCTTTTATTAGACCAACTTCAATTAATAAAAGCTGTGAGATTCACCCTGTGCGGGTGGGCTCCCGATCCCATCCTCGCCATGTGCGAGCCGGGCCCGTCTTTGCGCACGCGGACTGTGACCAGCAGCCCGGGCACGCGGGGCCGAAGAAAACCGCGGGGCGGTAAGGTACGCGTGAGCTAGAATCAGTTACGGAGGTGTAATGGTTGATTGAAAAGATTATTTACTTACACCCAAGGTGGTCGCGGTGTAGGCTGGACAGCTTTCCAGGCGCAGCTCCGCTTGAATCCTCGTTGGAGGACTCTGACAAACTCGGTTCTTTGACCCCGGAGTGGTTTAGGCTC